TATGGACTCATATGTTTTGGACTCCAGTGCCAGGAATAACATTGAGAGTTGCTAGCATGCCTCGTTCCCAGGACCCAAGTCCAGACTATGATGAGACAGACAGTGAAGGATAAGGACAGGCCGTCACGCCTAGTTCCTGGAACCCAAGTTCAGATCATGACACAGACAGAGAAACAAAAGGAGAATGGGATGTGCTAGTGCTCGAGACAGACAGTGATCCTCCACATCAGCACCAGCACACAGATGCACATTCCTACTTGTTCTGTGCATTTGGTTGCAAAACTTTGCCATTCACTAATTGAAAGGCAAATTTTTGCACAGCCACCACATGACTGCATATAAACACAAAATTATGCTCCATCATCTCCATAACTTCAATGTAGCATCTTGGCTGATGTTTAGTATTTATTCATGGATAAACAGAGACAGGTATCTTAGCATAGACTTTCCATTTCTAGTTGAAGCTGAGGAAGACACATCAGCAGAAGCAGCTGGGAGTAAATCCAGGGTCAATGCACTATCAGAAGCCATAATTTGTTGAAACAGTGGCTTAAGCTGGCTCCAGATGGCTAAAAGGTCTCAGGAAATGCCAGGTTTTGTTCCTGTGCAAAACAATTTTGCTTCTGGTATCCAGATGAGGTTTTGCTTGTTCTGATTTATTTCCAGTAAGCTCCTGGTACTTCTGAATATATATATATTTAAAAAAAAATCCAATCCCCAGGTGTGTTTATATTTAACCCAATACAATTCAAAATGAAATGTATTGGTTAATTGCCTGTGCATTTCTATTATCTCTGAGCCAGTAAAGATGTCTGCCATTGAACACTGCTATTGTTGGCATGCCAAAGATTCAACAGAGAGCAAGCAAAGGAAAAGAAGATTAAAAGGTGATGCGATAGCCCTGTTTAAATATTTGAATGGATGTTATATTGAAGATGGAGCAATTTGTTTTCTGCTGCTCCAGAGAATAGGACATGGAGCAATGGATGCAAACTACAGAGAAAGAGATTCCGCCTAAACATTAGGAAGAACCTCCTGACAGTAAGAGCTGTTTGACAGTAGAATATGCTCCCTTGGAGTGTAGTAGAGTCTCCTTCTTTAGAGGTTTTTAAACAGAGGCTGGATCTATTGGGAGTGCATTGATTGTGTATTCCTGCATGGCAGGAGGTTGGACTGGGTGGCCTTTGTGGTCTCTTCCAACTCTATGATTGTATAGTTTTAAGAGGAGTGTTAGCATTAAAACAAAATGTTCCTAATGATCCTAATGCTTAACTCCCGGATGATGATAATAATAATAATAATAATAATAATAATAATAATAATAATAATATGGACATTTGTGAAAATCCATTTCTGAAATCTCGTATGAGACTGGATGTGAGGTTTCCACCAAAGAAGCTCATCTCTAGTGTGTTTCATGAGAGACTCTGAGCAGATGCAAAACCCATTTGTGTGATTCACAATTCCCACAAAGAAGAAGTCAAAGTTATATCACTGATGCTCACTTTTCTGGCAATTGTGGAGTTTGAAATTCTTTGCCACTTGTGCAATGACCGAAATCCCCCCTGAATCCACCTTTAAAGTGGCGCAGCCCCCTTACATGACCATTTCCATATCTTTTGAGAGTGGGAGAGGTCCCTATGGATGCTTCAAGGCACAGGAAAATAGCTGTATATGTCTCCACTGATCCCCGCTGCTCTCGAATGATACTGAAAGGGTTGTCTTAGAGGGGCTGAATATCTGAAAAAGAAGGTTCAGGGAAGGGAGTAGCACTGGGAGAATTAAGCTAGGGACACACAACTATATGCCCCATGTAAATCTCCTGATGCAGGATTCCTGCCTGTGTCTTTTTAAATGCAAACACATTCTTCCTCCTTCAAACCAAAGATTACTTTAAAATTCTAGA